CAAAAAAGCATACTTTATTTTTCTCTCGTTTTTCTTAGTCCTTCTCTCGATTTTTGGCAACAACAAAAAATTGTACAATTAATATTAAAAACATTCCACCCACGAGGCCACTAGAGGGCGATTTGGTCATTTGACTGCAGGAAAGGTGCTACGGGCTGTTGTCTAGAGATGTTAGTTTATACTGGTGTCTTGCAGAGCGCTCCACACTGGGTGGTTTCCCAGTTTTCCGTAGAGGCGATTCCTCCCGGCTCTCTGTTCCCTGGCCTTCCCTGCTCCGGCTTTGTCTGGGAACAAGTGTTGGTCAAACAGGCCTTTGTTTGTGGTTAGTCAATTGGTGCACCGCTGAGAGTCTGGGCCAGGACAGAGACGTGTGTGTCTTTCTGTGGACTATGAGGCAATACAGACTAAACTTGCTATGCCAGAGTAGATGGCTTTACGTAGTGACCCACAATTTGTTAATGATAGTGATAATGATCATAATAACCATAATTATAAACAATATCCTTGGGGTTTACAGAATGTAGTATTATATAATATTTGCACCTTAATAATGTATATTGTAGGTATCACATCCCTGTGTAATTCTATAGCTAATGCATGATACACTTTTAAGGTAATGTAATATATTTGTGGAGTTGGTCAGGGGTGAAGGGATATCCACACGTAAATATTTCAGGAGATCTTGAAAGCCTAAGCCGCTGATAGAATTCTCAAATTCTATTAGGGGACATTGTCCTTTCTCCCTGCCGTATTCCCTAATCCTGTTTCTGCGATGTTCCATTACCTCAATTACCATTATCTCACCCAGAGGTGGAATCTGCACTGCATAGCCAAGGACACAACAACACAGAAAGTGAGAGGGAGGGAGAGAGTGAGTGAGAGGGAGGGAGAGAGAGAGAGGGAGGGAGCAAGAGAGTGACTGAGAGAAACTGAGAGAGAGAGGTAGAGAGAATGAGGATGGAGAGATAATGAATAAGAGAGAGTAAGGGTGAGGAGAGATGGGGAACAGGGGACAAAGGGAACTGTCCAAATGGCCTAGAGTTGAGGGATGTGTTGGCTTGGCCGTTTGTTCTGCTTGTCAGTGTTTGTGATGCGTGTTTGGGTTGTGTGTAGCGTGTGTAATGTGTAGAGTGGGGGATGGGGGTAGCGGTTTTGCATATTAGGTGAATGGGCGGGGGCATATTATATGTGAAACGGTTGGGAGTTTACATTGTCTTGGGTGTGTGTGTGCGTGCACATGTGTGACATTGGTGCAGGTAGAGGTGATATGCTTGGTAAGATGGCAGATGAGCAATAGGAGACTGTGCGTGTCTGGGGCTCAGGCTGCCCAAGCTGTTTAAACCTGGCATCCATCTTTGTTTGCCACTGCCACCCGTCCAGACGGAGCACAGAGATGTCTGCTCTCTACCATGATAGATACGGCATTACACACACTCTCACTCTCTCTCATCTCTCCTTCTCTCCCTCCCTGAATTCCTCTCTGTTTTACATAGAAGGCATATTCCTCTAAATAAAAAATGTATGTATTATACTTTTTCAGGCAGTCCCCTACTGTAAATTTTACTGCTCGGCAAATGCTGCCATGCCCCTGACAGGCAGTGTGTGTTTGTGTATGTGCGTGTGTTTTAGTTGGTGTGTGTGGGTGTATCTTCACAGCTTGGAACAGTGGAGTTATTTTAGGCCCTGTAAAGCGATCTGCTCAGAGTGGTGCATTTCCCTAGAGAGATGCAGTAAGCAGGGGAAGTTTCAACACACACACACACATTTCCTTCCATCCAGTCTCATGTTTCATGACTCTCCACCTCTGTCTGTGTGTGCCACCTTCTCACGTCTAACATCACCTAAGTGCCTCTGCAGTGTCCTCGGCTTAATGGGGTTTAGTACTTTGTGTATGTGTGTGCGTGCGTGTGTGTGTGACCTGAGTGTGTCGATATATGAAAGTAGGGAGGGTGTAATATGTTAGAGCATGTGTGATGGAGGTATGTGTGTGTATAACGTGGTGTAATATTGTCTATGTGTGTGTGTCTGACAGTGTGTGGGGAGCTCACTTTCTCTCTCTCTCTCTCTCTCTCTCTCTCTCTCTCTCTCTCTCTCTCTCTCCTCTCTCTCTCTCTCTCTTGCTCCCCTCTCTCTCTCCCTCATTCCTCTCTCTCCGTCTGCGATCTGAACACGATGCTGCCAAGCTCTGCAGTTGCAGCCAACTACTGTCATGAGTGACGTGGGCTAAAGCCTAAGCCCCAGCCACAGCTCTGTCCTAGTACGGCCTCTGTCTGTCTCTCTCCCTCACACGTTATGTCTCGTTAGAGTTGAACTGAGAGATGGCTAAATTAGAAGCTGTTATGGCTCTCAGAAGCCTACATTTCAGACATTTCCAATCATTTCAACTTTTTCCAAGGCACTTGCACATCAATAAGGAGGAGAAACAACTCTAAATGGAAATGCAAATAATGCATCTGGGTAGACCCTCTGCAGGTGGCAACAATTAGCAGAAATTTCTACCAATTCTAATTATCCATCATTTACTAGCTAATGCTGGACTTCCTCAACTGTAGGTGGTGACAGATAAGTGTGTGTGTGTGTGTCTGTGTCCGTGCATTAGTGCGTGTGTGTGAATTCTCCCAGTGTGTTAGACCCAGACAGAACACAAAGGGGTTTGAGTGTCCGGGGGAGGGTCCGCCACTGAGGGGAGAGATCCACAGGCACACCCCGTCTATGTCTTAACAGGATTATCCAACCCAACCGCCGACTCTCACGCCTTTCACTCACTCACCCCTCTCATCACACAGCCCAGTAGCGACTGCTGGCCTCTCACATACACACATGCTAACACACGCAGAGCAGAGAAGTCTTGCTCTCTGCACATCTTTTTCCCTCGCACATTATATATCCACCATAAAGAGGTGAGAAAAAGGTTGTTTAAGAAATATGTCACTGGTTGACACCCCTCTCACACTGACACACAGACACAGACCACACACACACACGGCCCACTTTTACTGATGGCTGTTTTTGGTGACAGTGTTGACCCTTTGTTTTTTGGATGCGCAGGGTAAATTGCAGTTGGGGAGGGTAAAAGCTGTAAGGTAAACCATAAATCCCTTTTAGTGTTGTCGCTAATTCTCTGGTTCATACTGCCAGTCATTAGCAGGAGTATGGAGGTTTTAGTGACTGACCCCAGTCTGTTTACCTTTTGATTTGATGTGCTATACAGCACTTTATCACAAAATTGCTTTTTATCTGGAAATGTATCCTCAGTAATTATCGTCAATGTGTCTAAGGCCGTTGACATTTTATTTATGTATCTATTTGTCTGGCAGGATAGCAGAGCTAAATATGTTGGCTTGTCATTCTGAGAATAAAGTAGATGGATCGAATATATTTTTTTGAATCAAATAGCTCATTCATATTGGCAACTACTTTCCTATATATATATTCCCATTTTAGTGAAATTATATGACTTGTAAACAGTTGGTCTTATGCTCATCGGTTAGGGCTTGATTCCCAGGCTCATTTGAGGCTCACCTTAATCTCGTCTCAGGCCTGGGTCTCCTGTGTTGTCTGGGAGTGCTAGAGCAATTAGTCTGAAGGGGAACCAACCTGTGGAGGGTCCCTGGGTATATGGGCTGAATGACCACCCACAGGTGGACCAAGATACCACAATACAGCTCACTCTTTATTGCTGTGTGTTTTACCATGCCTATCTGTGTGTATAGTTACACATTTCAGCATTCATCTGTTTACTGTCTAAATGTTTGTATGTCTGTGTGTGTGTGTGTGTTTGTGCATGTGCGTGTGTGCACCTGTGGGAGAATCTGTGAATTTAGGCAGAGCAGTTGAGCAGCAATCTTTATTGAATAATCAGTACTGTCTTTTGTGTGTCTGTGTGTGTGTACGTCTATGTGTGTGTGTGTGTGTGTGTGTGTGTGTGTTTTGTGTGTCTGCATGTGTGTATGTCTATGTATGTGTGTGTGTGTGCGTGCGTGCGTGCACATGCACATGTACGTGTCTGTGTGTGTGACTGTGCATGAGTCTGCATCCATATAACTAGTTTCATATTGAAAGGCTTTCAGCCCGTTTATGATCTAATCTTGTAAATGAGCTGATGGAGGAGCGGGCTGTGCTTAATGAGATGACACATGCATTGTGAAGCGGACCACAGGTCATTGTCAGAGAGCCATTCAAAGTCAATTATTGTTTTAAATGTTCCTTTGTTGTCAAAAGCGGCTGAATACTTCACTGGGCTGCAATTGAGAGGGCGGTTCTAGTTATGCAGAGCAAGAGGCTTTTCTTCTGTGTGTGTGTGCGTGCGTGCATGTGTGTGTATGTCACTATTCAGAGCAAGGAATTATTACACTTACAGTATATACTGTCTGTGTTGATATGACTTCAGTCTAAAATAAAAAATAAAAGTATAGGCATACATTTTTGGGGGTCGTCCCTAAGTACTGTAGTAGTATCTGCTATGCTCAGTGGTGTTGTGTTTCTCTGTTAGGGGTTATTTCTGTACATCAATGGGAGTGCGTTCTCTGCAGGGACAGCAGTCATTGTTTGCTCTGTAGCAAGCTGAAAGACTGCTTACAGTCAGCTGGGATAACAGTGTCCCAAAGCAGGCTAGAGGAAGCTGTGATCCTCCACACACACACACACACAAACACACACACACACACAGCGTGTCTGGAGTCCTTTATCACAGCTGATTATGTGGGGCATTACCTCGATAAGAGTTGCTATGTGTTTTTTCTTCGTCTCTTAAGTCTTGTCTTTGTTAAAGATTATCTGATAATTAAGATAGATTTACCCTAACATCATATGATGGCTTTCTAAAAATATATTTTACCCATAAGACAGTTAAGAATAGAATGCAGTCAAATGCAGCACAGCTGAATTGAGCTAAACTCTTTAACAAATCAATAATTTATATTATTTAATAATTAATAGATTGTTGTTGTGAACATGAGTCTAAATCTGTGTCCCCTCTTCCTCTTTGTCCCCCTGCAGGTAAGGAAGAGCCCAGTACCTACACCTGCACCACCTGTAAACAGGCCTACGGCAGCGCTTGGTTCCTGCTCCAGCACGCCCAGAATACCCATGGCTTCCGCATCTACCTGGAGAGCGAGCACGGCCATGGCAGCCCCCTCACCCCCCGCATGGGCAGACCTTCCTCCCTGGGTGGTGGCGCAGACTGCCCCTCACAGCCCCCTCTCCACGGCCTCCACCTGCCTGAGGCCAGCCCCTTCAGCCTCCTCCGCATCCCAGGATCAGGCTCGGGGGGCCGGGATGGAGGGGGTGGGCACCAGCGTTTTCCCCCGACGCCGCCGCTCTTCAGTCCCCCTCCACGCCACCACATGGACCCCCACCACCGGAATCCAGAGGAGCTGACGCTGGCAGCCCACCATCCGAGTGCCTTCGACAGGGTGCTGCGCCTCAACCCCCCTATGCCCCTGGACCCCCCATCGGCCATGGACTTCTCTCGCCGGCTGAGGGAGCTGGCGGGCAACACCTCAGGGTCCACTCCCCCCCACTCTCCCAACCAGCCCAGCCATATGCAACGGCTGCTCCAACCATTCCAGCCCGCTGGAGGAGGAGGTGGAGGGGGTTGGCGGTGGGGGAAAGCCTCCCTACCTGTCCACCCCCCCTCCCCTGCCTCCCTCCATGCAGTCCCCCTCGGGTTCCCATACCACCCCCACCACCCCACTGCCATCCTCAGGCCCCCAGCCCTCGACTCCTCTGAAGACCAAGTCGTGCGAGTTCTGTGGCAAGAGCTTCAAGTTCCAGAGTAATCTCATTGTGCACCGGCGCAGCCACACAGGCGAGAAGCCCTACAAGTGCCATCTGTGTGACCACGCCTGCACCCAGGCCAGCAAGCTCAAGCGCCACATGAAGACGCACATGCACAAGTCGGGTTCGCCCAATGCTGAAAAGTCGGAAGATGGGCTCTCTGCAGCCTCCTCACCCGAGCCAGGCACCAGCGATCGAATGGGCAGCGCCAGCAGTGCCCTCAAGTCAGTGGTGGCCAAGCTTAAGAGTGAGAACAACAAACTGCGCCGGGAGAATGGGGAGGAGGAGGAGGAAGAAGAGGAAGAAGAAGAGGAAGAGGAGGAGGAAGAAGAAGAGGAGGGTGAAGAGGAGGAAGAGGAGGGGGAGGAGGAAGAAGAAGAGAAGGTGGATGGAGCTAGGAGAAACAACAACAGCTACCACTTCAGCTTGAGTCTGGAGGCAGCGCGGCACCATGACAACAACGGCAGCATTGGGGTCGGGGGAGTTGGGGTTCACCTGGTAGGAGGAGAGGAGGGTTCCATCCCTCGCTCACTGCCTGAGGTGATGCAGGGCATGGGGTTGGCGGCCAGCATGCAGCACTTCAGCGAAGCCTTTCACGCACACAAGCGCAGCGCGCTGGACCAAGAAAACCACATACACCACCACATCCGCGAGCACACACAACGCCAGCTGTGTGATGAGGACTCAGCGCTGGAGTCGGACCGTGGAGATGGGGGCTGCATCTCGGCCGTGGCCATCAACGGGCGCGGCACGTCCCCCAGCGAAGCAGCCTCGGTGGGCCTCTCCAAGAAGCTGCTCCTGGGCAGCCCTAGCCCCCTCAGCCCCTTCTCCAAACGCATCAAGCTGGAGAAGGAGTTTGACCTGCCTACCCCCACCATCCCCAACACAGAGAACGTCTACTCCCAGTGGCTGGCCGGCTATGCCGCCTCCCGACAACTCAAGGACCCCTTTCTGAACTTTGGAGGAGACTCCAGACAATCGCCCTTCGCCTCTTCTCCATCGGAGCACTCGTCTGAGAATGGCAGCCTGCGCTTCTCCACCCCTCCTGGGGAGCTGGATGGGGGGGTGTCGGGCCGCAGCGGGACAGGGAGTGGGGGGAGCACGCCCCACCTGGGGGCTCCGCTGACTCGTCCTGGCTCAAAGGACAGCAGCAGGCGCACCGACACCTGTGAGTACTGTGGCAAGATTTTCAAGAACTGTAGCAACCTGACGGTGCACCGGCGCAGCCACACGGGCGAGAGGCCTTACAAGTGCGAGCTGTGCAACTACGCCTGCGCCCAGAGCAGCAAGCTCACACGCCACATGAAGACACACGGGCAGATCGGCAAGGACGTGTACAAGTGTGAGATCTGTCAGATGCCCTTCAGCGTGTACAGTACCTTGGAGAAACACATGAAAAAATGGCACAGTGACCGCCCCTTGAGCGCCGAAATTAAGTCTGAGTAGTGGGAGTTTCACCTGTCATCAGCCCGCCCCTCCCTCCCCAGTCCCCTGTAGATTCGCCCTCCTCTTTCGCCAGTCCAATGGACAACGTGCTCTGCACCAGCACACCCCGTTTCCATTACTTGTTGAATGCATGATCTGTATCGGGGCAATACTATTGCATTGACGCAAAACTTCAAGCCTTTCTCTTGTGCAATAATTTACATGTTGTGTACTTATGTTTTCTTTCTTCCATTTTTTATTTTTTTATTTTTTTATAATTAGACAGCATGCATGGTATGTTTTGGCTAATTTAAAAAAAGACAATGTCCCTGGTTGGTTAGTTGTTGAGTAAAATGTGTTGCTGTTTTCTTGTTCGGTTTTTATTTTCAAAAAAGAAAAGACAAGAAAGAAGCGACCATGCTGCATACATTCTGTAACACATATCATGTACAGTTTTGTGTTGTAACATGGAGGATGAACAGTCTTCAGCTTAACCCTCTCTGGACGACCTGGGAATCGCACTTAACCTTCATCTTTCTAAAAGATGTTCTGTCCCTATGGGGTTAAAACATAATCTATGAATTGGCTTGATTACTAAACACAAAGCAGTGACAGCCTTTAGATTTCTTCAAAAGATGAGGATGTGTTGAGATTTGAATTTGTACTATCATTTGGTAAAACAAAAAAAAAGTGTGCCTTTAATATCTTGAAACTGCATTGGTTAATAATCTTCCTATCTGCTATAAGCTTGGGGTCACGGCTGTATACTGGACAATGGTTGAATCCACCCAGAGTAAAGGTTCTTGCATCAAGTACCTGACTGCTAAAGTCAACTGTGACTTACACGATTAAATGATAATAATAATACAGAAACTTTGGAGAATTCTGGTTAATCATCATTTAGCTACCTATTATATGTATTATAGTGTCTTTAAATTGTGAGGTTTTCAGCAGGCACGGTATAGGCAGTATTGTGTTTAACTGAATTGTTTGTATATTTTATTTCTGGTGCGGAGGTACTGAACACAAAGGTACTCTGTAATGTACAATCCTAAATTCGTGGGACTTTTAACGTTTTGTGAAGACATCGAGAGTTGTCATGTATTTACAGTAGCACAAATGTATGATGCTGCTTGGATTTATCTGAGTGTAATATCCCAGCACACCATACAATACGAGGGCATTCGAATGAATACAAGCTAGTCAAAAAAGTTACACAGAATTAGAAGCTAACAGAATGGAGTGCTTTGGGGGGATTTCATTTTTTACAATACATTTAAACCTTCTATCCATCAGTGATGATTAACTATGAATTGCCTAAACTTGAAAGGAAGAAAATATTATTTAAGAATGGCCGTTGTACTCATGCCAGGGCTCTTGAAAAGAAAGAGTGGAGATTAGACAAAATAATCATACATAGGTTTGTAATACAGGGCAGAGGTACTTTTATTTTCTTTCTGTTTTGTACTGTTTGCTGTTTGTGTTGACGTGAAAGGAGAGTTTTTTCCATGTTGAGTTGCAGACATCCACCCCGGTTGATGGTGAAATAGCACTTGTCACGCTGCCTCAGAGTCTGTACAGATACTCTAACATTGTCTAACGTTGGTACAACGTCTGTACAGCGGTCGAGTCTAAAGTTAGACTGTCATTTATAGGACAAAAAAGAAGTGCACTGTTCAATTTTCCCAGTTTACAGGTATACGCTTAAGGGAAAACTTGCTAAAATGCTGAGTGATCGCTAGGGGTTCCATTGTTTTACACAGTGATGAATGCAGAATCTGTTGCCAGCCACTCCATCGTTGACCCTCATCCTTCACCTCTGACCACCTCTGACCTTTGTTGTTTAACCCCAGGAAACCCCAGCAAAGCACTCAGTGTTGTGACTGGGTAAAAACTCCCTCAGCTAGATGACAAACTTGCTGCTCACACTGCAAGATTTTTTTTTTGTACAAATCTTCTTCTTTTTTTGTATAAATATAAAAACATTTTTTTTATAACACTTCATTATTTTTAGGGTAAACTGTATTTAAGTTTGTTGTTGTTTCTCTTTTCCTCTCTGTCTTGGTGGTTTTCAAGACTCGATCACAGTATATATAAAATGGAGAAAAAAAACTGTGACTTTTTATTTGCCTTGGCTCTTCGCGGCTCTTCAGGTTGAATAAAATTTGCATTGGGTAAAGGTTTAAGATTATATATGAATATATAATAGAGAACTTAAATATAGGAAGATGCACACTCATGTCAATTCCAATGCTTAAACACACTTATGGTCTTCTTTTTCTGTATTTCTAGAATGGTATTTGAATTCAATGTTCACTTAGAGTAGGCACTATAGTATTTATATTGAGGCTCGTATTTTTAACTGTTGCTTGTTCTCTCTAAAGGTATTTACGTACCTTTTTTGGTAGTAAAAAAAAAACAAGCTGCCACGGTTATTTTTATTTTATTTGGCAGGATAATATAGTGCAAATAATTTGTATGTTAAAAAAAATTAAATAAAACCCAATAAAAAAAAGAAGTATGCGACATTGGGCGCAGTGGGCCATAAAATGGCTGCCACGCTGCGCTGGTTCCTGCTCACAGGTTGTACATATCTTTTTTTTGTTTGGTTTGGACCTCCTCCCCCTGCTGACATTCTGTATGCAGTAATGCAAGCTGACGTCGGGCTGTTCTGTTGTGTGCTTCTGTCTTTCCCACCTATCCCATCTGACTACATTCCAACATCTTAAGAAAAAAAACAACTTACTTCATATGCAGTACATTGATTTAAAAAAGTGTCAGAATAAATGAATAAAAAAATATATATCTATGTTTTGCTTCTTTTTTTTTTATTGCCAAATACTAAATGGTGCTTTATATTTAGATTGGGTATACTTTCATATGCAAAGCATATTTAAACAATTTAATTAAATGGAGACGCGGAGAAGCCTGCTTGAGTTGAGCCTTTTTTGTAAATGGCAATGCGGAATATTTTGTTATCAGCCTTTTCTATTCTTGTTCTGAGAGCTGTTTGTTGTAACTTGAACTTGAACTTTATCTTTTACTATGGGAGTTGCTATTTATTATTACCTATATGCTCTGTTTAAAATAGAGACATGGAAGGGATCTTTTTTTGTTTTATTTTTTGTTATAATATTATTTCTTTATTTTCTAAAGATTGTCCGAAGGTCATTGGAAGAACTTAGCTCTTTTTGTTGTATTTGTTTCTGGTCTCTGTTCAGTTGTATTGGGGAAACCACTGTCTTTGTTTTCTGGCAGTTGTCTGCATTATCCTGTTCACACACCCATTTTTTCCCTTTATTGAAAAACAATTAATAAAAAAAACGAAAGTATAATTATGTTGTTTGTGTGTTGGTGGCTAGATATTTGGAGCAGGTCAAGTGTGTAGATTACATAGAAACATGAGCGGGTGGGAGTATTTCTGTCCATGTGCGTGTGCATGTTTGTGTGTGTTTGTGTCACAATAGTTTACAGTGTGCCCCCCGTCCCGTGCCCCCTGATATGATTCAAGCATATGGGGACGGGAAGGGTAGAGTTCCTAAAGTGGGGCATGATCTGCCGTGGCCATGTTGGTGTCATGGTTGACCTCCCCAACAGGTTGTACTGCTTCTATAGCGCATGTGTCTAAATGAGGCCATACAGTCTTAAGCTGTACTTGGACTCGCTGAACTTTCCCCCCTGCCTCCCCCATGTTCCTCCTCGGCCCTCCCTTCCCTCAGGCCCTGCATGTTCTCTACGTGTGTGTCTGCTGGTTTGTTTTGCCCTGAGGGAAAGGGGGGAGTGACAGGCTGAGCAATGGCTGTACAAGCTTCTACAGGGTCATATGACATATGCTGTGTCACCTTACCTGTTGGGCCAGGATAGACAGCTTTAGTGTGTGTGTGTTTTTGTGTGTGTGTACACGCGTGCGTGCGTTTGTGTGTGTGCGTCCGTGCGTGTGTGTGTTTGCAGGTAAAGCAGCTTTAGTTGAGTGGCTGCAGACAGTTTGCACGCTATCTCTGAGCACATACATGTTACATACGTGTCACTCCTCAATGGGGCACAAGTGTCCCCCCCTCCCTCTCGTCCTTCCATTTTGTTTAACTACTCGCCACCCCCAGCACCACTGCCACCACCCGCCCTTTCTTTGTATCAGCCCACCAAAGTTGACTTAAATATCATTACCTCTCTCTGTTTACTCAGATTTATTCAAAAGTATTAATCTGTCAAAACCCATCCATCATAATAACCTCCACCAAATGCCACCCATTTGAACTCAAACATTAGATCACCCTTGTAGGAGAGACACCTGGCAGCTGTGTTCATCCAATAATGCTCACTTAGTGTATTAGAAAAGTCCATCTTCACAAGAATGACAAGTGTGTGTTTTGTTCTTCATAAGAATGACAAGTGTGTGTTTTGTTCTTCATAAACCACAGCCACTTGTTTTGAGGCCCTGTTTTGTGTGTGCCTGTGGGTGACACCTGAGCCACAAGCATTACAGCCCTTCCTCCTTTTTCAGTGCAAATGCTTTTATTCCCCAGCTCTGGAGCCGTAGCAGCAGCAGGCGCCTCTTTTCTCCTTGTTGAACAATGTGACGGGCCTCCGGCAGAGCCAGCCAGGCAAATAAAACAAATCATCTCAATTTTCTCTCTCTCTCTCTCTCTATGATAAATTAATTGTGTTATAAATTTACGAAGCATTTAGGCCTTTTTAGCTTTACTGGGGCTCCCGAAACTGGTTAATGTGAAAAGCATAATGCATTTGTCACTGACTCACTGTTATAAAATCTATACAAGCATGACCCGAAATCCCTATAAACGCAGTCCCTATGAATTTTTCTCCCGCCACTGTTTCTCCAAAGAAAGCGTGTTTTCACAGGTGGTTTTGTTATTTGGCCTGGGAGCGTTGCTGAATGGATCATGGTCAAAGTGTATGTGTGTGTGCGTGCGTGCATGTTTGTGTGCATGCTTGTGCGCATGCATGCCTGTGGCTATATTGCACATTAGCGTGCTTGGCTTCTGTAAATGTATCTACCA